ATTTGATGATACATATGTATGACAAGGAATTTTAGTTGTGTTACATTCTTTGGTGCTAGATGGTAACACTAATAATGTTGTCTAGAATAACAATGAAAGCTCCACAATTAAATTATCAAGCTTAAAGCATACAACACTATCAAAAGCATACAATTGAGCTGTAAACTAACTTTATCATGATAATCAATTACATGAGTTTAAGGGGAAGTACTACAATCACATAAAATCAGAACAACAACAACAAACATTAATCCATTTGTATTTATAATAGATTGAATAAATTAGTATATCTAATGATGGAGATTTCAGTACACAATATATTTTTATGATTATATTTTCTATCTGATAATTTCATTGTAGCAGTAGCCTCTGTATCAGTACATTTAAACATACACAATTGAAAAAGCAAAATCTTCACGTACAACACGGAGAACACCAACCAACTCAATCACACTTGATGGAGGAACTCTGGAAAAGGTGGAATCTTTCACGTACCTGGGAAGCATCACCGATGAACAAGGAGGATGCAGACGGAAAGACGAGGATTGGCAAAACAAGGGTTGCCTAAATAATGTTCATTTTATTATTTGTTTATAGTGATGAATACCTTCTTATTTTTGAATCTATTTTATTTGTCTAATTGATATACTTGGTATAAGGAATACTTTGAAACATTTGCATTTCATCTGTTTGAAACCAGATAATGATCACCGTAATAGGACATTGTAAATTAAACGAGATACATATGAACTAAATAAATCCCCATTTATTAATGTTAATGTCTAATGTTTTTTATAATGGACATTAAATCACCTGGATTCAATGGATTATAATATAATAGTCTGTATGTATATTGTTAAAAAGTGTAAACTAAACTTAAGCAATTCGTTCAACAGTCTTTTTCAATCATCTTTCACTTCCTGTCGTTTCATAATGAAAACTAATATATTAAACAAAATCTTCACATTTAACCTGGCTAAACGCATAACAAATAGATATTCCTCGAGATTCAAAAATGTAAATATCACTTTATGTACCTACATATTTCGTAGTTAGACAAATAGTCTAAAATAAATGGACCTTCAAAGAAAGTAGAGTAGACAAGAAATACCATATGATCAAATTTAGAAAAACAAACTAAAACAGATCAGTAGGAGAGCAAGCGACAAGGATCATGTATTAAATCAAACAAGTTATTAAACTAGATTTCAGATGATCAAGACTACTGCATAATAGTGTAGCTTCTTACGTACATAAAAGGTAAACGATGTAGACAGTAGAAAATTAATTCAAAAACTCAGCTGGATCGAGATTCTGTTGAACATTACTGGGTTCCATGAAGTGGTTCCATGTGAATTTAGATGACTCTTTCTTTTACTTCCTTCTGTTTTATTTACTAAAACAAACGGATTTGAATTATACTAGAGAAAGGTTACTACGAATTCATTTTACACATTTATATATTCTACTACATGTTTTGAAATGCTGTGTAAAAGCAGTCAAGTGGTAGTGAGACTTTATGTCACTAGTGAATATTAAAGTAATACTTTATATGACTAACATACAACGAGTTGTATTAATTGCCCCTACAATTCCGAGCTGATATACACCGTGAAATAATAATCCAGAGATTACATCAAACAGTCAAAAGAGCATTTGACACTGGAAAATTAAGCCCAGTGTACTGCACATGACTAATGACAACAACGAGGTTGAAAGTTCAATCATCTAGAATGGTCATCTCATTTCGTATTGATCATTTCGACTACTGCTGTGAAACCAGTTATATTCATCGAAGTTCTGAGAATTTACATTTCCGTGCTCGTGAACACATTTCAGTGTGACCAAACAAAGATGTCGTCAAGACAACAAATAATTTGGTAATTTCAGTGGTTGACATCATGAGTCAATTGAAGTTAGACCACCACGAAAAACCTGGAAGCACTAGACGGCCGTTCCGTCCTATTGTGGGACTCCTCAACAGTACGCATTCATGATCTCGCCTCGCGAGATATCCAACCCAGTACCTATCGGTCTCGCACGCAAACGCTTAAACTCTAGACCATTGAGCCGGCCGGCATCCAATGATATTAATGTCTAAATTCAACTAATCCACGAAATGGAGCAACACGTCTACAATTGTCTTCAGTGAGTTACTATCTCACCACTGACCCGGTTGAACTCCACTGATCATTACTTCTCATTAGAACTCCACAAAATACATATTGAAGCAGGTCACTAGTGATTTTATTATAATTACAACATATAAATTAAGATTTCTTGATAAATAGTAAAGAGTTCATAACAAAATTACTAGTACATCATGTTAACTTGAATAATTTTATACTTAAATTGATCAGAAAAGATAATAAATAGTATAAGAGAAATAATAACAGATCGAATCACATATTTATTAAAGATCAAATCATATTGAAAATGTTATGAATTAAGTAAAGAACAAAAAAAACTAGTGGTAAAGTTAGTTAAATACCAATTAAATCCTTTATGTGTTTACAAGATTAATAATAATAATAATACAGACAAACAAACATGAATATTATGATCATAACTATATGAATATGATAAATTGAATATAAATAAATAATTCGTGAAAACTTGAACGAATAATTTAACAGAAATTGACAATCGACTTGATTGAAGTAACTTCATCGATTGAAATTGAATTAGTGCCGACATTTCATTTGTTGCTTATAAACAAAGTCTAATCATTTATAGAATACAATAGTTATGTTGTAGTAATTGTGGATTACAAAAAAATATTTAAAAAAAAATAATAAAAACAGGCTTTTTGACATGTGCTACATGAAGTTTGATACCGATAACAATCGACGCATATTTAATCATTTATGTTTTTGATTCATTTATGATTCATATTAATGTAATTTAATTCTACCATTACAATTAAATATGTTAATAATCTGATACTATGAATACTTGGAATGGTTGATTTATAATAAACAGAAACGATCACTTGGCCTTGAACATAGACAAAGACATCACTTATTCAGTGTTTTCTAGTAACAATAATATACACACACATACACACGCATACATTTTTTAAATGGTGGACAATTTTTCACATCAAATCATCCTTTGACCTCACTATAAACAAAACGAACGTGATTGGACAATGTTTTAGTATGATTTTTTCTTTTGAACCACATATTTTCTTTGATAGTGTTGATTGAGATCATATTCCTTAATGAAACATTTCAGATTGGTATGACGGACAAATCGATAAGATTATTTTAGTTTGAATTTGTGAGATGATTCAATCACAATTTTTACGTTTAATATAAATCTAAGTTATCTCAATACGAAGAGGAAGGTTACATATACATTAATAAAACTAGGTCATTTTATAGCTAAGATAGCTAATAACTTATTGGCTCTGACGTTGTCCAAATTTAGGAAAGAGGTTGAATCCATTTCTATCTTAAATATAGACCTGAATAACTATTACTTTTACCATTTGAAGGACTCCGAGACTGGGAGATTTCAGCAGAAATTCATGAAACCAATAAACTTCTGAAAGTGATTGATTGATATTGGCTGTTTGAACCAAACAGTAAAGCTGTTGGTCAATTCGTTTAACTACAACTTCGAAAAATCACACTAAAAATTGTATACAAGCAGGAAAAAGATTATACATTTACCAATATAAGTTGCTCAACAGGACGACTTTAATCGAAAGATGAGAAAAGTGATGGCAAATCTAGGTACTTTATCTTTCCATCTCAGTATCCCCGTAGGAACCGTAAAAAGTCTAGGTTATGGTCTTCCTGCATTTAAAATTCTTTGAACTAACTAGCGTAACCTCAATCAGTATTGACATTTCTTTGGGTATGGGACTTCTAAACGTGAGTTTCATACGATACGGTTTATGATTACAGATTGGAATTCGTGGTATGCTTTGTATTCTTAGGGGATCACTCCCCAAGCATTTGACACAGGTGTATAATTCACAAGACAGTAGAGCAGCGTTAGGAGATGCCATTCCATGGTAGCCAGTGACCAAGAATATGTTCCTACACAATTTATTCCCTCAGGATCATGAAGCTCATGTGCACCGTTGATCTGGAATCAGGGTGGGTGCTCCGTACTCACCAACCTGATTTAAGCGCCGGACATTTGCTTTTCGTCCTCTCAATCTCGTAAACAACACGCCGGCCACGTGGGATCAGTGAGTAGGACACTCCTGGTAGTGGATATATATGTTTGGCCACATGAGAGCATTTCGAAAGACAGAGTGGACTCCCTCAACCCTCGGTTGAGTAAAAGTTTCCACCTAGAGTATAATTGATAAAATTTGTTGTTTTGTAAATGAACCTAAAAGAACGTGACCACTACTCTATGATTGACCTGACGCGACTTTCATAAATAGCGCATGTAGTTTACAATCGACTAAAACACATCGAAATGTTAGGTGTTAATAATAGTTTCTGCCCAAACTGTTCGCATTGTAAAAGTCAGGAGAATAAGGAAGGAAGAACAGGCGACTTATTATTGGAGATTAGTGAATAGCGTTGAGTGGAGTGCATGGTGCGAAAATCCCGCATCATCATCTACCACATAATTCACTGGTCGGCTGGTAGTGTGCAAAGAGTGACGTAAGTATAGGGGATTGATGCGAGCGCCATACAACTGAGCCACACCTATAACAGTCGGGTCGGAAAAACGCTCAAAACTAAACTACCACACAACAAAACAACACACTCATATTTCATTCCATCAACAAACTATTCATTACTCACGCACATAAAGCTGAGAAGCGTCAATCCACTGTTTTCAAAAGTCAATGACCATGCCAATATTATGTTACGTTACGCATTACAATACACAACACCCATTGCATTAATGTTGCACGATATTTCATTGAGATTGATGAAATGTGGAAGTAGTTAATTTCTTTGTGGAATATACCATTAGTATAACTGAGATCAGGAGATTAACATCCCAACGAACCATATCTACATCCACTATCGTTTGTTATTATTACTATTATTATTATTATTATTATCATTATTATTACTATTATTATTATTACTATTATCATTATTATTATTATTATTACTATTATTATTATTACTATTATCATTATTATTATTATTATTATTATTATTATTATTATTATTATTATTATTATCGTTATTACCATCCGACTCTTGTTGGGTCACAATCAACATGCAGCGACGATCGTAAAGTGAATCATCATCGTCAAGTAACTGGATAGAATTACAACAGAAGCAAAGATCGTTCAGTGAAGAGACCTTATTGCACTTCCACTCTTTCAACGATGTTTCTTCTTAAACTGACACATGATCGCAATCAGACGACCACCTTCCTAGCATAGTACACTATGACCGGTGTGCTATTTTTGTCATGATTATTCAGTCTCATTTGTTCAAACAATGTTATTTGTATGAACAACCTGTGAAGTCGGGCATTCATTCAATTGTGCAATATTTATTTACTGTTTTATACTAATCTGTTTATGTTGTCTTTTTCTTGCTCATCTTAATTTAAAAATGAACTTCGACGAGTTGACATTAGTGATTAGTGGTGAATACTGTGATGAGTGTTATCAGCATTATCGTGCCAACTAGCATCTACTCTATTCCAACAAATTCTCACTATAATAGTGGATCTTTCAAATTGTTAATAGATTTTACTGGAAGACACAACAACTTACTACAGCAAACTGTTCATCAATTCAATCACACTGAAGTTCCATCGGCACATGATCATTTAATTAATTATTTACTTATTTATTCACTTTTTTTACTTCTAACAGACAAATTTTACTATGATAATCATGGAAACATTGAGTTGTTTGATTAGACCATTTCCTGATAAAATGTTCAATAGTATTATTGAGCTGACGGTGTTCAACTTTTGGTTAGAGTGAATTCGATTACAGTTGCATTACGCAACTAATATGCCTGATATACAAAGCGGACATTCACACATTTATGAGGTATATCGCTCAGTTAGATAGTGTCAACAAAACACTACCGCTTCTAAATAGAACTGTAATACCAATATTCTAAATATACATGTTGTTGTATCAAACCCGATGTTTGGCCACATGAGAGCATTTCGAAAGACAGAGTGGACTCCCTCAACCCTCGGTTGAGTAAAAGTTTCCACCTAGAGTATAATTGATAAAATTTGTTGTTTTGTAAATGAACCTAAAAGAACGTGACCACTACTCTATGATTGACCTGACGCGACTTTCATAAATAGCGCATGTAGTTTACAATCGACTAAATCACATCGAAATGTTAGGTGTTAATAATAGTTTCTGCCCAAACTGTTCGCATTGTAAAAGTCAGGAGAATAAGGAAGGAAGAACAGGCGACTTATTATTGGAGATTAGTGAATAGCGTTGAGTGGAGTGCATGGTGCGAAAATCCCGCATCATCATCTACCACATAATTCACTGGTCGGCTGGTAGTGTGCAAAGAGTGACGTAAGTATAGGGGATTGATGCGAGCGCCATACAACTGAGCCACACCTATAACAGTCGGGTCGGAAAAACGCTCAAAACTAAACTACCACACAACAAAACAACACACTCATATTTCATTCCATCAACAAACTATTCATTACTCACGCACATAAAGCTGAGAAGCGTCAATCCACTGTTTTCAAAAGTCAATGACCATGTCAATATTATGTTACGTTACGCATTACAATACACAACACCCATTGCATTAATGTTGCACGATATTTCATTGAGATTGATGAAATGTGGAAGTAGTTAATTTCTTTGTGGAATATACCATTAGTATAACTGAGATCAGGAGATTAACATCCCAACGAACCATATCTATATCCACTATCGTTTGTTATTATTACTATTATTATTAATATTATTATTATTACTATTATTATTATTACTATTATCATTATTATTATTATTATTACTATTATTATTATTATTACTATTACTATTATTATTACTATTATTATTATTATTACCATTACTATTATTATTATTACTATTATCATTATTATTATTATTATTATTATTATTATTATTATTATTATTATTATTATTATTATTATTAATATTATTATTATTATCGTTATTACCATCCGACTCTTGTTGGGTCACAATCAACATGCAGCGACGACCGTAAAGTGAATCATCATCGTCAAGTAACTGGATAGAATTACAACAGAAGCAAAGATCGTTCAGTGAAGAGACCTTATTGCACTTCCACTCTTTCAACGATGTTTCTTCTTATATTGACACGTCATCATTATTCTGCCTTATTCACAAATTTTTTTGGTATTCTTTGCATTGTTTCTCATATTCCATTTCATGTTGTTTATTGTAAATTATTATTACTGATGCATAATTTTCTATATTCCTCAATACTCTATCTACTTTATTCAATGAAAGTTTTCTTGTTATATCTGCCCCAAAGAATATCTGGTCATGAAGATAATTTGACATTAGATGACATTACTAACGGACTGAATATATGAAATTATTCACTCCTCGTTGATCATGCCATTGTAAATATCTCATATCTACAGGTTATCAACCGCCGACCAAATTGCGCATCTGATGATACTGGGCAACCCAGACACGAATACAGTACGAAGCATCAATTCACACATTATTACGAGTACACTATACTGGTGAGTGCCACTTTGAGTAGAACTTATATCCGCGTTTCTCTCCCGACTACCTACCTCCCGTCGTAACATATGGACGAAAATGTATGTAGTCGACAGCGCATATTCGTATTTCCATAACGCTTGGTCCAACCAGACAGCCAATACCAATCCCATCTGTCCATTGTTCACTTTTTTAGAAAAGCAACTTACAGATCTACACTTACGATTCAGTCAATATTTCACAAACAGTAATCGCTACTATCAAGAGTCTTATCAGATCTTTCTATTACAAAACCACTCATCAGTAATAAGGTAACCACTCATAAACTTGTTCATAATGGTTTTATCACACACCTGAACCTTTGCATGAGGTCTAAATTGAATGATGTTGTGTAAGGCCTAATTTTCTAGAGTGTACGTGTTCTGGGGAGGGATAGAGGCGTGGAAATCATTTACCCTCCATAGCACACACAAGCAATGATAACAAAATAGTGTAAGAAATTTATATGAATTAAGGTAATACGATTTGCGTTTATAATATATCCATTTATATTCCTAATCCATTTGTTCGGTTCCCTAATTTTTCCATAAATATTCCCCATTCAAACAAAGATATGGTGAGTTTTGACCAATTTATTCCATTTAGCAAATCGTCCTCCTTGTGAATTGTTCAAAATTACGGAGGGAGTAAGTAAAAAAGTAATTGAATAGTGTCGGGCTAGGAAATGTGTTGGTGAACCAGAAAGCAAATTTCAATTGAATGTTTGACCTTCTTTCTTAGCCTAGGACTAACCAATTCTGTCGTTTCTCACTAACAGCTGATAAATGACCTCAGTTGTGTCTGTTTATATCATAGGCGTTGTATGCTTGTATACGTATGAAATCAACCACTCATTGTTGACCTAACTTATCAGTGAGAGAAATGTGATTGGTTGAATAATGGCTTCTTTTTCTAAGGACTTAAGTGGACTAGGCAGAGTTGTGTGGCTAAAGCAGAATCGTCTCGTGTCGGTCTGCAAGTCAGTGCATCCATTTATACTGTGAATCATGTCTGGTCGTGGTAAAGGTGGTAAGGGTTTGGGCAAAGGAGGAGCGAAGAGACATCGCAAGGTCTTACGTGACAACATCCAGGGTATCACGAAGCCTGCAATACGTCGTTTGGCTCGACGAGGCGGTGTGAAACGCATTTCAGGGTTGATCTACGAGGAGACTCGTGGTGTTCTGAAGGTGTTTCTGGAGAACGTGATCCGTGATGCAGTCACGTACACGGAGCACGCCAAGAGGAAGACAGTAACAGCTATGGACGTGGTGTACGCTTTGAAACGCCAAGGTCGTACATTGTACGGTTTCGGTGGTTAATTCACTAGCATGTAAACAATTGGCGACCTGCAACTGGTCCACACGAGAACGTATCAAGGTCCTATTTAGGACCACCACATTGTGATTTGTCTTTGTGTTTTAACTGTGTGGGTAATTTATGTGGTTTGGACTTTCAACGTTGGGTGTTGTGCTACTCTAGATATAGAGTGTTTGGTATTGATGTTAACGAATAGACACTTGTATGGGTGCACCACACATTGTCAGAGGTGAGATTGGGAATGAGTATTCAATTAATCTTCGAATACCCTGGTACGACCGGGGGTATAGAGGGTACACTGTCTCCCGAAATGTTCCTACTTACTGACATCTCGCTGCGTGTATGTTACTTGCGGAATTGAGGACGAGAAGTGAATGTCCGGTGCTTTAACTAGGTCGGTGGATATAGAGGACCCACCTAGTGGCTCCAGCATCCTGAGGGAACAGATGGTGTATGAACCAGTCGTTGGTCACCTGACGTTGCTCCCCCTGCCTTGTGGATCAGACCTTTAGATCGAAGGCTACGGGTGTGGCCCTCTAAGTAAACCGCCTGTTGCGATCCAGGCACGTAGGAAGTATCGTGACCCCTGCATCAATCAGGTGACTTGTGTGGTGCATGTGTATTCGGTTCCTCTTTGTACCAATATTCAGGTGTTCAAATAATAAATTCAATTATAAGTAGTTGAACATTTTAGCGACAACCGATTGACAAGATTATATTCACTAACAAGACAATATTACGACGCTGAGCATGCGTTCCTATAAATATTGAAAGATGCGCAATTTGGGTGGAATTTGGAAGACGTAAATCCTGTTGATAATTTAAAGTATATGGGATCTACTGACCAGCATTGTTTTGGAAATATCCCCTCAGTCCGTGAATAGGGTCATCCGCTTAAAATTAAAAAATTGTTATCAGAAGTTGAAGCATACGTATTTGGGAAATCTTTCCATACTTAATTTAGCAACAGTCTAAACTAGAATGACCACATAAGAATGAAATTTGAAATGAGTGCAACGGAAATTCTGACTGAATCCATGGATAAACAGACTAACCTGGAAATTGTAAGTAAAGAGATTTGAGAATTGTTAAATACCGAATCGATCTAATTTAGTACGCCATAGAAATCCTGGGATGGGTATTTCGTCCCAGTATGGGACTCAAATGTGCGCACCACGTGCCCAGGAAACGAACCTAGAACTTTCGATCTTGAGAGCGAACGGCTAACTTCAGACTTTTGTGGTCCGATATCTGACCCCGTCTTGAAAGTATTAACGAATATGTCATGAATTTTCTTTTAATCTCCGTATAATGAACTTAGGCTAAGCCCGATTGTGCGACGGCCCCAATAAGATTCAAAATGCAAATTGATTTAGATGAATTTGTTTCAGACACTCGAATAATCAGATAGACATCAACATGGGAGGTGGGAGAGAGAAGCGGAGAATGAATACATGCCAGCCCACCAAATTACTTATTACAAGATTGCTCAAAATACAACACTATTGAACAGTGTTTATGTCCAACATCAAATATACGATTTTTAATAGGATGTTTAAGGTTATTTAAAGTAGAAATTATACTTCTAAAAATATCAGTGATTGAACTTTTATTAAATTCAACATTTCTCTTGGCAATGTAGTTCAGGCTTTTCAAGAAAATATTTGCCAATCAGAGAGCAGCTAATTATCGATCGGACCACTGACGCATAAAACCCGTACGAGCATTCTAGAGTCCTTATTGGTCCTCTTTTTCCTCTTACCCCAGCCAGTTAAGTCTAGAACACCAATCTCCGCCTCTGTGATATGAATCATTCATTTCAAGCATACTGGGTTTTTATACCAACTAGACCACACCGTACCATAAAATATGAAACAACATATGTACATGAATGTGCCAAATGTGGCTGTAAATGAGGGAGGTAGTAATTAATAGACAGGGCATAACTCAAGAATGGTAAATCGTATAATAATAGTTCATAGGCCGAAACGAAGCTCACAATAAGAATACATATTTAGGATTAAGGATAAAAATGTACTGCAAAATAAGACAATTTCGTTTTTTATCATATGCCTGATATATTTATTTATTTCGATTGCCAGAATTTTATAACGTAGTATTAAAATGTGTGTGCACTTTTCAAAATTAATATTCACACGGGTAAACAGTACAAAAACTAGTTTTTACACTTATGAAAATTTTTAGGAATAAGGATGCATATAAATATTACAAAGTGAATTCCTGAATTAATAGCTGGGATATTCTATCGAATATTTAGATGAAAATGCTAGTCAGTTCATTTTCCACGACTCCATGACATACCTAACCATATGGCGCCATGCAGGATCATAAATGCTAATTGAGTAAGTAGTTGCAAAGTACCTCCGCCTGTAGCTCCCCCAAATGCCCTGGTACGGCCGAGAGTGGGGAGAGTCCGCTCTCCCTCTCGAAATGCTCTCACATGGCCATGCGTATATAGCCTTTGCCAGGGAAGTCCTACTCACTGCCTTCTCGTCGCATTACTGTTGTTTACAAAAATGAGAGGACGAAAAGCGAATGTCCGGCGCTTTAACCGGACCCCAAACCAATGGTGCACATGGGCTCCAGTATCCTGCGGGAACAAATGGCGTATGAACCAATCGTTGGTCACCGGCTACCATGGGACTGCATCTCCTCACGATGCTCCACTGCCTTGTGGGTCAGACGTTCAGGTCGAAGTCTTGGGGTGTGGCCCCCTAAGAAAACCACCTGCTTCGGTTTGGGCACCCGGGCAGTATCACAGCCCTCACATAAATCAATTGAGATTCGTGTGGCGCATATGTATTTGGTGCCTCCCTGTACCTATACTTATGTGTTAAGATGAATAAATAAATGAATGAATCCGCCTGTAGCACTTCGAGAGTTACTGCCGGTCACCAAACCATATGGCGCCACGCAGGATCATAAATGCTAAAATGTGTCACGAATGTTTCATTAGAAATTTAAGTGTTGCGACTATATTTCGGATAACTAATCTACAGCCACAAGTTGAATCTGGTACGGATTTTGACATGTGACTATGTTTTAAACAAATACATTCCAAGTCAAATTAGTATTCTGGATATCAATCACAGTCAAATTGACTCGAAAATTATACAAAC